ACTTGGGGTGGTCTTGGGTATATGAGGGAATTAGGATCACATGGGTTATGGAGGAAATTAGACAGAGTAGGACAAATTACCAAACTTCACAGTCACCACCTGTACACTGAGATAAAACAAAATAACATTTTACCCAAAATTTCCTTTATCTTCCCGTCCTTCTCTCCCCTCAAAAGTCAACAAAGTCTCTCTTCCCCAAAAACTATAAAAAGGTAGAATATACACAAATAAGAGAAGACAAGTCTTTGACCACTTGGCTGCCATTTTTCTGACCACACCCAAAACGGAGTGTCAGATTGGCTTTTGGCCTGAACCATGTTGAAAACACCCAACTACCTCCATTGGCTGCACAATAGCCTAGTCCTTCATCTCTTTGGTAAACCCTCCACTGCGAAAAGCCAGCATTAAACCATGCTGGAAATGTCTTACCGACGTCGGCTTGTGGAGGGATTTCAGCCAAGAATTTGAACACTCTTGGAGGGAAATTTCCCTCCTCTTGGAGCCCCCATCCTTGCCTATAAATACCACATCCCTAAACCCTAAAAGAGGGGAGGAGAAAAAGGAAGAAAAGAAACGGGTGAAGGGAGAAAGAGAGCAAGCCAAGCATAGCTCTCCCACTTAAGAGAAACTCTTCTCTTCTCATGGTTTCTGGCGGAGCTCCTCCGAGCAAGTAATGCTCGGGCGTTCTTCCCCAAGCTAAACACACATGAAAACCCAACATCAACAACCTAAATGTTGGGATCTATATGTGCCCTAAGGATAGAAAATCAATTTTAGGGATTTTCTATAGATTGACATTTTGATATTAATAAAAGAGGTTATTCATGTTTAATAAGTGGTGTCCTATTTACTTTCACTTGTTGAATGTATGATTAATTGAGCAAACATAACTTCTCCTAGGCTGTTGGTAACATATCGGATTACCGTTGTATACGGGGTATACATAGAAGACATGGTAATTCGATAACAGTCTAAATAAAAGGTCCGCAATTGATGGAATAAGATTTGGGGATCTTATTCATGTTAAGATTGTAAAGGTTGTCTACTTCCTTGGAGGGATGCTTTGTCTTGAACATCAAATCGGTTCCGAGTAGAAACCTTGATGTATACTAGTATTAAGGTATGACATTGGACTGCACCTAAAGTGTTAATTGATTTGGTTTAATGATTCCATTTATAAGAATCAATGACGCTTTGATTATCATCCTTCATTAATCTTAATCCTGAAATGGATACTTGAGTTCGCATCCATGACTCATGCACTTTGATCCACTATAGGTGACACACTGATAATTGATGGTCAATATACTTGTGTGTTGGGTGTATGACATATGGATGGAGAAATCAAGATTCATAGATACGGAATCCATAGCCATCTTATAGATGGGAAATGTTATCTACTTGAAGGCATTATTCGGGGATTGAAAGACAGTATAACAAGGTCTTGGCCATCATTTTACTTTGTGTCCTCCGGTGGTTTATCGATTGTATGGTTTTTACAATTGGTGGTTCTTTCAATGGAGAATAATGGAACTTTAAGTTAAAATGATTGAAAAGGTAAAACGGAATAAGTCCTTAATTCAATCATGGATAACATATGGGGATTAAGCGAGTGATGAATGATCATGGAAGAAGCACTACGTAAGAGAGCTTTCGTAATATGGTATGTAAACGGGAATTCGGCTTTAGACTTTTAGTGGTATAGTCCTGAAGTTGATAATTGTTGAATAATTAATCGGGGATTAATTTTTCACAATTATAGGAGCCTCTTTACATATTTCCATTGGGTCCCTCTACTAGCTCATATAGTTCCACGAAGCGTCTCGGTATTCATTCTTAATGAGATCGGTAAGCTAAATGGAAATTGAGTAGTGTATGATAAAGACATGGTACTCTCGTGCATGCAACTCCGAAAGGATTGGGCATGTGAAATTAATGTGGACAGACATAATGATTTGTCGACATATGATTGGTTGTGGGTAAAATAATTATTTGTTAATTATTTTGGTTAATTGAATTTTGGAAATGGTTGTGGATAAAATAATTATTTGTTAATTATTTTGGTTAATTGAATTTTGGAAATAAGATTGTGTTTGAATTGTTTAATTTTGGAAAAACAAAATTTATTCTCTCCTATTTAAAGTGAAAGAATTTTAATGGATGGAGGGAAATAGATTTTGTTTTAAAATAGTTTAAAATCTATTCCTAATATTAATTATTAATTAGTTTAAACAATGGAGCTTATTTGATAGATTTTCTTTATTTAAAAAAGATGGTTCACGTTTTTTTTTTAGGGAAAGAAAATCTAGAATATTCCATTTGATTAAATTAATTAATATGGATAATGTTTGTGGAAAATATTTATTTAAAATCCAAACAAGAGAATCTTATTTAAATTCAAATTTTAAAAGGAGTTTGAATCAAGATAGGATTTGGACTTTTGGAAGATCAAAGGATCTTGATTTGAATTGAAACCAACAACCTTATCTCCTAATGATAAGGGGCAAAAATTTGAAACTCCACAAGATAAGTGGACGAATTTTTGGAGTCCTTCTCAAATTTGTGGATAAGGTTCATAGAACCTAGCCCAAAAAGTTTGTGATCTTTTGGTTCAAAAAGATTTTCTAGTAAAAATAATTATTAATTATTTTTGGGTAGAAAATTTGTTTTTTGAAAAAGGATCCAGCTACTATATTAGGGCTAGTGCTTCATGAAACAAGAGACAATTGATCACAAAAGGTGATACACGAATAAATTTTTTTATAGGATCCAGATATTATATTAGGGCTGGTGTTACATAAAAAAATAAGAGATTAACACATCACAGAAGGTGATACACGAATTTGAGAGAGAGAGAGAGAGAGAAAAACGTTTTGGTCTTCTTCAGGCTAAGGGTAAAACGTTTTTTGGGATTCTCTTGGCCTTAAGAATTCGTTCATGGTGTGAGGAAAAATAAGAGAGAAATTTCCATTGAATCAAAACTAAGAGGAAAGGTTTTATCGAGTGAAAAAGATTGAGGTCAACTTGTTCCTATCTTGAAGTTTTGAAGAACAAATCTAGATCGCTATCTTAACAAAGTACGTTAAGGTTGAGAAAGCGGGATCTAGGGTTCGTAGTGCAATACCGATCGCTTGGAACCTTACCACGTGTGCCCACACACACTCTGAGACAATGAGCTCGAGAATAGTGGAGAAGATTCGTTGGTGGACGCTCTAAATATTCTGGAGTCCAAGAAACAAGGTATGTTTGATCATGCATTTAATTTATTGTTATATACATCATGAGTCTTCTTTCCTTGTTCGGCATTAAAATTTTAAAACTTCCGCTGCGCCGTAACTCTGATAACCGGATCCGTTTCTCCAACAATTGGTATCAGAGCCAACTCATGATCATGTATATAACATAAATTATTTGATCAAATGAATTTCTCTCTATGTATTAATGAAATATTTTTAGAGAGATGGCACTCTAGGTTTTATTTTGTGTATGTTAAATATATTGTGAATGGATGTATGGATGAATGAAGGCTTTATATATTTTTTTAATATATGATGCTTGTTCAATTTTGCCGGTCATGATTCCATAGAGGTTAGAATTTGTATCTAGGTTTTTCAAATGTAATAGATGCGGTCTATTATCACTGCTAGGTCATTCTTTCAATTCCTATAATTTTTGTAAGCCAGAAACGGCGTAGGAATTTTTTGTAAATTCAGGCTACAATGGATTCAAGGAGATTGAAGATGAACGAAGGTATGATAAATTTTTGAAGGATGTGATTTTTAGAAATTTGGAAATTTTAATTAATTGAAATTTCATATTATTGACGTTTTCTTAAAGAAAAATCACATTAAATCCTTTTGAAAATTTTAATTTTCCAATGATATGTGATCTTGATAATTTGGAAAGTCAAAATTCAAAATTTAAATTTTAAAATTTAATGGACGTTTTTATTTTTTGAAAATTTTAAATTTTGTGATTTTAATTAAATTAGAAAATCACATTTATGAAAATTTAAAATTTGAATTTTAAATTAAAAACGTAATTTAGTTAAATTTTGATTAAAATTAAAAGTCACATATAATCTTTTTAGAAATTTAAATTTAATTTAAATTTAAAACGACGTGACATTGGAGAAGGATGATTCATTAAAGAAGGATACAACGCATGGATCTACAAAAGAAGGCCGATATATGCTTCGGTTAATTTTTGTAAATTTTGCAATTTTCTTTTCTCTAGGATGGAATCATGATCCACGGCTATTTACATATTTTGCAAACCATGGATGATGCAATGCTAGATAAATATGATGTACTATTTCGTGATGTATTGATAACATGCCATATAGACTAGGGAGTGCCACTCAATAAATATTGTTTATGCATGAAAAACAAAAACCCTAATTCAAAAGATTGAGTGGGAAAAGGTTTTACACACTAAGACCTACGGCCTCCATCGTTGGTCCAATAGTTACGCATGGTAGTGCCTATTACTCGGTTTCAACCCGGGAATTCCCTTCAGATGGGTATCTAACCTAGAGCGCACACTGATTTGGATTTCTGAAAGGATAACAATTTTGTGCATATTTTATATTTAGATCACCCCTCGGTGGCGGATGTAAAATATGGATTCAAAATTAGAAACGATGGTTATACACTCATGCTATTTTTTTATTAACCCTCCCTCGAGGCTCTGTTATTTAAAGTGGTGGCCAAATAAGTGATAATTAATATATATTTAATGGGGTTATGCTTCATGGAAAAATATATATTAATCGGAAGGGATCGATGTTCTTGGCTAGTTCTTCCATGACTACCCCTCGGTAGCTTGGAAAGCAGTTGCTAGGAATTATCACTGTAAGGTATGTGTTTTTTAAGGGCTTTACACATAAACATTTAGATTGCATTTAGATCTTTTTGTTTCATTACAAAACCAAATTTTTGAAAATTAAAAAGGATGTTTGCTCATACTTATTACATGTTATCTTATTATTATATATCAAAATGTCGAGCCCATTATCTGTGATACTTACGCAAAACAAATTAACCGGGGAAAATTTCAATGACTGGAAAAGGAACTTGCTTATCGTCCTTAATTTTGAGAAACACAGTTTCGTCCTAACCCAACCTCGACCGCCCACGCCTGCGATCGATGCCCCTGATAGGGAATTTGTAGTGCTTGAGCGCTGGGACAATTCCAACCTTAGTGCTATGTGCTATATTCGGGCGAGCATGTCTAACGTGCTCCAGAAACAGCATGAAGAGCACCAAACTGCTAAGCAGATCATGGACAACCTGGAGGAGATGTTTGGTGAACAAACTATCCAGGCTAAGACTGATGCTATCAAAGGTCTCATGAACTGCAAGCAAAAGGTTGGAACACCCATCAAGGAGCACATGATGAAAATCATGGCTTATTTATCTGAAGCTCAGATGAATGGAGCTGAGATCGATGCTTCAACCCAATTGGTCATGGTTTTCCAGACCTTGTCCAAAGATTTCGATTCTGTTTCAGGCATCCTACAACCTTAACCAGAAGGAGATGTCTATAACGGAATTGATGAAGGAGTTGCAAGCCTTTGAGAACATTTTCAAGGGTTCTGGATCTAAGGCTGAGGCAAATGTGGCTGAACCTGGTTCACCTACACCTAATCCTAAAAGGAAGAAGGCAAAGGGGAAGAATAAAGGGAACAAGCCTGCGGCGAAGGCACCTGCTCCAAAGAAGTATACAAAGACTAAGAAGCGGAAGGTGGATCCTAAGAAGGCTAAGTGCTTTTTCTGTGGGAAGAAGGGACACTTCAAGAAGGATTGCAGAAACTACCTGACTATGCAAAAGCAAAGAGGTAATTTTGATATCCTGTATCTTGAGGCTTGTTTAGTGGAAGAATCTAAGGAAACTTGGATTATAGATTCTGGAGCCACTAACCATGTTTGTATTTCTCTGCAGGGGTTCAAGGTAACGAGAACTTTGCGTGAGGAGAACTTCACATTAAGAACCGGTGATGGGACGTTGGTGCGAGCTGAAGCAGTGGGAGATGTGCATCTTTACTTTGATGAATTTAGATTTATTGTTTTGAGACATTATTTTTATGTTCCTAGTTTCAAGAGGAACTTAATTTCGGTAGCTTGTTTAATTAAAGACTCCTATTCAGTTTCTTTTAATGATAAAGTTGTTATTAGGAAAAACAATTCTCTTATCTGTAATGGATGGATGCATGGAAATCTTTATTTTATCAAACCTAAGATGCACTCACTGCTTGATACAGAATTGGAGAGGAACTCCAAAAGACATAAGTCTTCTCACTCTAACAAATCATATCTTTGGCATTTACAACTAGGTCACATAGGCCTTAACAGAATTCAAAGGATGGTAAAGGAGGAATGCCTTGACTTGTACGAGGTTGAACCTTGGCCACAATGCGAATCCTGTTTAGAGGGCAAGATGACCAAAAGGCACTTTGCTGCCAAAGGTAGTCGTGCCGAAGAACTTTTAGAACTTGTGCATACGGATGTTTGTGGTCCCATGAACAAGAAGCACGTGGTGTGTATGAGTATTACGTCACATTTATTGATGATTACTCGAGGTATGGATATGTCTATTTGATGACCCGCAAAAGCGAAACCTTTAACAAGTTCAAAGAATTTCAAGCTGAAGTGGAGAAACAATTAGGCAAATCTATTAAGTCACTTCGATCGGATCGAGGTGGGGAATACCTATCGGATGAGTTCTTAGGACATTTGATAGAGAACGGGATACAATCCCAGTTGACTGCACCTGGTACTCCTCAATAGAATGGTGTAGCTGAGAGAAGGAATAGGACCTTGTTGGATATGGTCCGGTCTATGTTGAGTTACTCCACATTACCTTTGTCGTTTTGGGGGCATGCCATACAAACTGCATGTTATCTTCTGAAAATAGAGTTAATTGAGCATTTCCCAAGCTTAAATTATTACCTAGAAGGTAATTAGTATTAGTTTTCTCCTATATTTTGTCTTGTTAATTATTTTTAGTTATTTGTGTTTCATAAATTCTCTCTCTCGTGATTAGCGTTTAAAAAGAGCTAATTCAGGTGCACTTTGTGGTTAATCTCAGCTTTAAGAAAACGTGGTCATTTGGAGCTTTGAGCATCTTTTCATTTTTGGAGTATGAGGAATCCTAGTCAGCATTGCTGTGCATTGCTACAGCAAGACAAGTTAGGCCAGACGTGTGTTTTGCTGACAGTTGGACCTGAGCTGGTTAATGGGCTGATTTTGTCCGTGAAGGGTGCTGATTGAGCCACTCATTGGAGGCTTTCTCATGTGCTGCCACGTGAAATTAGGGTACAATAAGTACCTGTAGCTGAGAAGAAAGAATGTGTCCTTGGTCATATATTGTAACGTAGAGGCGGCTAAACTTGGAAAAGGAAACCACCTCTATTTCTCTGATCAAGTACCAGCTCTAGTACTAGAAAGAAGAAGAAGGAAACGTCACAGGGTGTTGAACGTAAAGGAAGGTCCATTGCTGATGAAGGAAGCGTTTAGAAGAAACCTTGGAAAAGGGGGATTCTGATTCTCCTTTCTTCACCTTAGTTTTTCTTACTCTCATTACTCTGTTTTACTTTGTTGAAGAATATTTACGTTCCTCTATAAATCTGAACTCGAATCCATTTATAACTCTATGAGATTATGATTTGTTGGCTGAGATTGTTGAGTTGTTAAATATTGAAATGTTAGTTGATGTTGAATGGATCTGATGATTATTTCTTTGTTTATTCAAGTGAGCTGAATTTGTGCCTTAACTGTGATTGGGAAATCATAAGAGGGGAGCATAGCTTGATTAGATCTGGGAAGGTTTAGTTGAGTGGACACAGCTTGAATAGTGCAAGTTCTTAGATCTTGTTTTAGATTTTTGATTCACATGATATAGGAATATATTGTGTCTTGCATAACCATATGATTTAGAGCTTCATTCTCTGATTTTAGAGTCTAGATTTGCAAAGGGATTTATGGGATTTAGCTTTAAGATCGTAGACAGAGGATTGGAAAATCCCTGGTTTAGTAAATCTGGTTAACAAGAAGTCTTCATTGCCGTCCGTTGCTGCAGCATCGCGCAACATTGATAGGAGACAGTTTAGCAATTGTGAGCCACGCATAGTGACTTTGGCCAATTTTATTTGCACATTTTGTTATTAATTAGTTTTATCTTTGTTGTTCATTTCTCTTACAGTCAGATTATTATTAGTTTTCAACATCTTAAAATCAACTTTAGTTTTCTTCTTAAAACTTGAATAGAATTAACTCAGCAATTTGATTTCAAAAACACTCAATCCATGTGGGAGGATACTTGGTTATTCATCATTTTACTACTTGTTGACTCGTGCACTTGCGAGATTCTAGATTCACAATTTTAGGCAACACAAGGTACTTGAGAGGTTTTCTATGAAAGATTCCAATAAAGGTGCTCAACCTTTCAGGATGGGAATCAAGCTCTCTAGAGATGACTGTCCTAAGACATCTGAGGAAAGGGAGCGTATGAAAGACGTACCTTATGCATCTGCAGTAGGTAGTCTTATGTACGCCATGTTATACACTAGGCCTGACATTTGTTTTGCGGTTGGTATGGTAAGTCGATATCAGTCGAATCGGGATCGAACCATTGGGCTGCGGTCAAGCATATACTCAAGTATCTACGGAGAACGAGGGATTATATGTTAGTGTATTCCAGTCAGGAACTTGTTCCTATAGGGTACACAGATTCTGATTTTCAATTAGATCAGGATTCTAGGAAATCGACTTCAGGATCTGTCTTTACCCTTGGAGGTGGTGCCGCTGTGTGGAGGAGTGTTAAGCAATCTTGCATTGCTGACTCGACCATGGAAGCTGAGTATGTGGCTGCTAGTGAGGCATCTAAGGAAGTGGTATGGCTCCGCAGGTTCCTTAGTGACCTTGAGGTCGTTCCTGGTATGGATAAAGCTATGGTGCTCTACTGTGACAACAGTGCAGCTATAGCTAATACCAAGGATCCTAGGCATCATAAGAGGACTAAGCACATTGACAGAAAATATCACATTATCAGAGGCTTCGTAAAGAGTGGAGATGTGACAGTTTGCAAAATCGCATCAGAGGACAATCTTGCCGACCCGTTCACGAAGACTTTGGCGGCCAGAAGATTCGAGGAACACGTCGAAGGCATGGGGATACGTAATATGTCACATTTACTCGCTTAGGGCAAGTGGGAGATTGTTGGGATCTATATGTGCCCTAAGGATAGAAAATCGATTTTAGGGATTTTCTATAGATTGACATTTTGATATTAATAAAAGAGGTTATTCATGTTTAATAAGTGGTGTCCTATTTACTTTCATTTGTTGAATGTATGATTAATTGAGTAAACATAAATTCTCCTGGGCTGTTGGTAACACATCAGATTACCATTGTATACGGGGTATACATAGAAGACATGGTAATTCGATAACAGTCTAAATAAAAGGTCCGCAATCGATGGAATAAGATTTGGGGATCTTATTCATGTTAAGATTGTAAAGGTTGTCTACTTCCTTGGAGGGATGCTTTGTCTTGAACATCGGATCGGTTCCGAGTAGAAACCTTGATGTATACCAGTATTGAGGTATGACATTGGACTGCACCTAAAGTGTTAATTGATTCGGTTTAATGATTCTATTTATAAGAATTAATGACGCTTTGATTATCATCCTTCATTAATCTTAATCCTGAAATGGATACTTGAGTTCGCATCCATGACTCATGCACTTTGATCCACTATAGTTGAGACATTGATAATTGATGGTCAATATACTTGTGTGTTGGGTGTATGACATATGGATGGAGAAATCAAGATTCATAGATACGGAATCCATAGCCATCTTATAGATGGTAAATGTTATCTACTTGAAGGCGTTATTCGGGGATTGAAAGACAGTATAACAAGGCCTTGGCCATCGGTTTACTTTGTGTCCTCCGGTGGTTTATTGATTGTATGGTTTTTACAGTTGGTGGTTCTTTCAATGGAGAATAATGGAACTTTAAGTTAAAATGATTGAAAAGGTAAAATGGAATAAGTCCTTAATTCAATCATGGATAACATATGGGGATTAAGCGAGTGATGAATGATCATGGAAGAAGCACTACGTAAGAGAGCTTTCGTAATACGGTATGTAAACGGGAGTTCAGCTTTAGACTTTTGGTGGTATAGTCCTGAAGTTGATAATTGTTGAATAATTAATCGGGGATTAATTTTTCACAATTATAGGAGTCTCTTTACGTATTTCCATCGGGTCCCTCTACTAGCTCATATAGTTCCACGAAGCGTCTCGGGATTCGTCCTTAATGAGATCGGTAAGCTAAATGGAAATTAAGTAGTGTTTGATAAAGACATGGTACTCTCTTGCATGCAACTCCGAAAGGATTGGACATGTGAAATTAATGTGGACAGACATAATGATTTGTCGACATATGATTGGTTGTGGATAAAATAATTATTTGTTAATTATTTTGGTTAATTGAATTTTGGAAATAAGATTGTGTTTGAATTG